CAGTTGCTAGGGCTGGTGGGTTATGACTTTTCCAGCCAACATGGCTTCTGACTACATAGATTAAAGAATTATTGGAATTGTTCTGTAACAACTATTTTTCCAGGCTCCAAGAAAACTGGGAATGACTATGGGACTCTTTGCACTTTGGTACATGTTTTTTAACACATGCATGGAGTATTTTTGTATACTTGATGTATTTCTCTCCCTTTGTACACACAGTGCAACACGTTTGGTATAAGGAACACTGTCTTTGACATGCAAGTTTGTGCAGAGGGTAGTAGCATCAGTACCTGCTTTCTGGACAATGAGAACAGACCTCCATCAATCGCAGCAGCTGCTTTCTGGGGAGTGAGGATTGGGGGGCTTTCAGTGTCTCTGTGTGTCCTCCTAAATTAAGGAATATGTAGGGATCACGAATACCAAACAGCTATAAATACATAGCTAAGGATCAGGGTTTTTTAAAGATTCTCTGGTGGCACAATGGGTTAAACCCTTGTGTCGGCAGGACTGGTTGACCAACAGGTTGGCGGTTCGAATCTGGGGAGCAGGGTAAGTTCCCATCTGTCGAGCTCAAGCTTCTCATGCAAAGACATGAGAGGAGCCTCCCACAGGATGGTAAAACATCAATCATTCGGGCGTCCCCTGCACAATGTCCTTGCAGGCGGCCGATTCTCTCACTCCAGAAGTGACTTGCATCTTCTCAAGTTGCTTCTGATACAAAAAAAGTGTCTTAAACCTTTCTACTCAGGATTCCTTTTGGCTTGAGAAATGTTTACATGACCCTGGGTATAAATATATAAAATAAGTATAAAACTCTAACATTTACTGATAACAAATCAGCATTTGTAAGGTTTACTAAACAGTCTGATTTTCCTTTTTATGAAGTATAGCTGAAGCATCTTCTGCAGAGGCCACTGCAAACCTGACACAACATATTCATGCAAATGTCTAAAGTGATCACTACGTGATGTTTAGAAAAACTTTCACTGTTGCCAAATTATTTGGGACCCCAACATTGAGCTAAGGGAACCCCATTTGGACTGGGACCCTCAGTTTAAGAAGCAGAGCTAGATCATGCATTAATAACTGCCCAACAGGTATCTGGCTCCAATTCATAAAATTGGTTGAACCATCTGGGACTTTATTGTGTTTTGAAACAGGGAAAACTTCTGATGAAGTTTGGACCTAGTTCAAAAGCAAAAGTTCTGAGTTCCATACAAAAGGATAATGCCTTCCGTTCATGTCAGAGACTGCGCTGTGGTGGCACAATGGGTTAAGTACTTGTGCTGGCTGAACTGCTGACCTAGAGGTCAGTGCTTTCAATTCATGAGACAGAGTGAGCTCCCATCTGTCAGCCCTAACTTCCCAAACGAGGACATGAGAGAAGCCTCCCAAAGGATGGTAACACAACCGGCCGTCCCCTCGGCAACCTCTCTGCAGACAGCCGATTCTTTCACACCAGAAGCGACTTGCAGTTTCTCAAGTCACTTCTGACATGTTAAAAAAATGTCAAAGACTAACATGAACACATACAACATTATGGGTTAGAGACAGACAATTGTAAGATAACAAAGCAAGGCATCATCACTAACAGGTCATTAACAAAAAAATGAATCCACAAACACAAAGGTATTTTTTTCAGCATTTTTATGTGAAGGCATCTGGGCTTTTGTCAGCAGATGACAGAACAAGGGGGAAATGTCCAGTTTTTTAAATCTCATTTTGGGTTAAGAGGGAGAAGACGATCTCCCCTTTAGAATTCCTGAACTTGTAACATAGCACTCCCAGCCCCACTTTCTCTTTTCTTAAATTACTCCTTGAATTTTGCATACAATACACTCAAGAGCTAAAGATAGCTGCAGTATAAACTGTAAAAATGGTTTTTAGAAGAAAAAAGGTTCATCAAAACTCTTACATAGTAAAACATTCACTTTGGAACAGTAGTATCAGTAAACACTGACATTGCAGATTGATTGAAGTCACCTCCTAATTTGGTTTCTTTTTCTTGCCAGTATTGCAAGCAATCGCATCAACAACATGTTTTAAGTGTAGGGTATAAACTTCTTTATACACTATATAGCTTGCTAAGAAATAATCCAGTTATTGCACTTTGTTACAAAATAAAATAAAGAAGAGAAACCCAGGCTTTTGTCCTACTGAAATGAACACACATGGCCTGCAAATGAAGCTATGGGATGAAAATGTGTCCTCGGAAAAGGACAGGCTCTTGGAAAATTATGGAGAAAAGAGCAGGTGAATATGAAGATGCTTTGATAAGTATCTGTCCTTTTCAAAATGTGTGTTAGAGAGCACAAAAGGGATACAACTAGTTTGATCTCTCCCACTACAACTCACTTTGGGGAGAAGGAGACTGACAATGTCTAAATGAATCTTCCATTTCAAAAATTATAGGGGGGATTTAAAATTATATAGGATGGGTTGATTGTTCCTGGATATCACTCATCTAGAATAATAAAGCTGGAAGAGACCTCGTGGGCCATCCAGTCCGACCCCCTGCCAAGAAGCAGGAAAATCACATTCAAAGCACCCCTGACAGATGTCCAAATGTGCTGTCAAAGGTTTTCATAGTCAGAATCACTGGGTTGCTGTGCATTTTTCAGGCTGTATGGCCATGTTCCTGAAGCATTCTCTCCTGACGTTTCGCCCACATCTATGACAGGCACCCTCAGAGGTTGAGGGGTCTGTTGGAAACGAAGCAAATGGACATTCCACAGATATACAAACCTCACTTACTTAGTTTCCAACAGACCCCTCAACCTCTGAGGATGTCTGCCATAGATGTGGGTGAAACGTCACGAGAGAATGCTTCTGGAGCATAGCCATACAGTCCGAAAAACGCACAGCAACCCAGATGGCCAAATGTTTAGGCTATAAGGGGATGAACGTAAACAGTTCACATTTAATCCAGAAAAAAAGAGTTTTGACATGCACTGTAAATTTTAAATTATGACTGGTGGATTAACCTAGTGCAGAATGCCTAGTTATACAATGGTTATACCAGTACAGAGCTATACAGTTTAAGAACTGACACAGACCATGCCATGGATGCACTGAAGGCTTTTTGTGGCCTAGTTTAGACCAAAGTTTTGAAAAATGGCTGTTTCAGCATACAATTTTCAAAATCATATTAGCCAACATGACCATGGTGATTCTGGAAGCTGTAGTTCAAAATCAAGAGCTCTGCCAGTTCCGGTATCCGGCACACTGCATGGGACTGGAAACCAATATTTGGTACACAATTTAACATTGCCAGGATCACAGTATTGAAACTTTGTAGGGGTTTATATGTTTTGAGCTATTTGTTCTGTTTGCTGTGATTATTGATTTGCAAACTTTAATATGTTCATTAAAAAACAAAGTAAAATAATTATCGAACACTGAAACTAGGCTGAACAGGATTTCCAGGGCTTCACAGTATTCTAGGGCTCCATCTCTCTGTTCAATGATTGCCGGAGCAGAATAAATTATGCAAAATACAGATGCAATTGCAAGTTTTCATAATTTATTCAGGTTACAAGATTTTGATTTCTCTTAACACACAGTATACACAACCTTTTCCCATAAAAATAGTGGCGATTATGCATGTAGGATGTATTTTGTGTATCTGATATGGAAACCATCCATGTCACAGTGAAGATCTCAAAGGCTGGCATGGACCTGACATAGTAACCCCAGTGCAATTTACACGACAATTCACACTAAAACCGCAACTGGATGATACAGAGACTGTTCTGACAAAGCTATTGCCATGCTTGGAACTGAAACACGGGAGTGCTGATTGCATTTAGGAACAGATTCATACACTGACACTCACAATCTGCTAGAGTAAATGCTTTTCTGGGGTAAAGGCCATAACATGGGGCCATGCCCACCTATCGGCTGTATCCTTGGAAAAACCTGCATTGCATTATCTGGAGATGGCAATAGCTGCCATTGGAGAAGAGACTTTCCAGACAATGGGGAGTATGTTGTGTTATTTTCACATGGGGCAACTATTATGTCCAGCATGTGCCACTTGGGGCTATAGTCAGCCCTCCACATTTGCTAGGGTTAAGCACACAGGATCCCTCTGAAAGTGAAACACTGCAAATAAAGGAATTCTTATTTTTTTACCTGAGAGAATACCTCTCTAGAAAGGTCTAGGTCTTCCAGCCCAAACTCTACAATCACCTTTCACTGTAAGCTGACCACAGGACCTAGGGGCTCCTAGAGAGAACATTTTTGATCAAATCCACGAACAACCAAATCTGCAAAACTTGAAGTTGCAAATGTGGAAGGATGACTATACTTCCTGCAACTTCTTTATAGCAGCCATAGCGTAAGGCATTTCCTGTCCATTGAGAGATATGGAGGGATTTTGAGATAGAGGAGCAACTTGCAGAAGCACTACATGACTGCACTAGGAACACACTTTAAGAAGTATAAAGCATGCTTCCAAATGTTTTCTTGGCCAAACCATAGTGACTGCGAAACCTAGAAGAAACCAAGTACTTTAAATATGAGGCACCTTTACTAATGGGTGTTGTGCAGAGCCTGGAAAAAATACTTTGGTGGACTAGAACTCTCAGAAACCTTAAGCCAGCATACTGGCCATGCTCGCTGGGGGTTTTTCAGTGTCTGAGTCCAAAAAAATACCTTTTCCATGCTCTGGTTTGTAACATTAAAGGTCCTGTATAACAGTCCCCATCTATCTCCTCACTCTCTCAGATTCTGCCGACATATTGAGATTACCTAACAGTAGCTTCATAGCATACCAGCATATTAGCCTGGCCGTAATGTCAATAAGCACAAGAGCCATGGTTCTCAACCTGGGGTCCCCAGATGTTGTTGGCCTACAACTCCCAGAAATCCCAGCCAGTTCACCAGCTGTTAGGATTTCTGGGAGTTGAAGGCCAAAACCACCTGGGGACCCCAGGTTGAGAACCACAGCACTAGAGTTTCTTGGACAATGATGACCTCTAGACAAGCTCTGAGACACATGGATGTTCTGGCTGTCAATGCGTGAAAAACCAAAAAGAAAACCCAATAAACATGATAGGAATGGCTTTTCAAGATGGATACACACAGTGAGGTTGAGCATCTTCCTTCCTTCCACCCTCCCCTCCCAACTCTCCCAGTTATGAAGGTAGCATTTTTGGCCCAGCTTATTACCAGCTGCATCAGTAGTAGAAAAGAAAAAGGAACAGAAGAAAAGAAAACACAGCTTGCTTGAAAGTTTTGAACCAGCCATTTAGAAAAAAGAAGCTGCTTGAACACAAGGGGATGTTGCTTTGTGAGTCTATACAAGACTTCCTGGCCAGCAGATAACTGTCAATGTTACTTTATTCCTTTGCTCCTTCAACATAGGAACCAGCGCTGAATGGCTCATCCCAACAGTTGAAAGTCCATTGACCGCAACAATCATATCGCCACATCTGCGGAGAAAAACAGAGAGGGAGAGAGAGAGAGAGATGGCAGGGTTTAGTAAATATATAAATAATGCTCACATTTCTGCTTCTGTTATTTTATTTATTTTGTATCAAAAGCATTGCATAAATAAGTATAAAACTGATAAAAATGGAAGGAGCACAAGCAGCTAAATATTTTTGACCAAAAATAGGCAACAGCAACCACATTGTCTGTAGCTTTAAGCAATTCTCTGTACATGAGGCAGGACACAGTGGACAAGTATACAGATGTGGAGTTGTCTGTTCTGCTCCACAGTTGCACAAGGTGGAGGATCCTTTTAAGTAGTGCCATTTTCCTAGGTTGTCTTTTGATCTGCCCACTCCACTGCTGAGTCTGTCCAGGGACTTGAACATTCTTGGTTGGAGGAAGACCCTTGTGGGGGATTTCCGGGCTTAGCTGCCTAGAGGGATGCTCTTGCTAGGCGAACGTTAAGAGGAATGGTGGTTCTCATGAAGCTTTTCCTTGATTTGAGTCTTCTGGGAGGAGGCTGATAGCCACACAGTGGATGGCTTTCACTGTGTTCAACCTTATTTCTCTCAGTTAGCAGCAACTTCCCGTCGCACATTGGGCGAGGGAGTGGGGAACGCCAGCTTGCTTGTACAGTTTATTAACTGGTGTGGGTTTGAGACATCCTGTGACTATTCTGCATGTTTCGTTCAATGCTATGGTCAGCTGCTTCACATGGGCAGACTTGTGCCAAACTGGGCAGGCATACTCAGCAGTTAAATAAGACAAGGCCAGGGCTGATGTTCTTTTTAGGGTCTGCACCCCATGCACAGTAAGTTTCCACAGGATGTTATTGTGTGCACCTACTTTGTGCTTGGTGTTCTTACAGTGTTTCCTAAATGTCAGTGTTTGATTTAAGATGATGCCGAGATATTTAGGATGGGAACAGTGTTTGAGCTATTGGCCTTCCCAAGTAACTTTCAATTTCCTGTTGGCTTCATGGTTTTTTGCACTAGTCTCGATCTGGCCCTTTTAATTTACTTAGGCCCATTTTTGAAATTCTTGCCCTAACAGCAATTTCTGCATGAAGAATTGGGTGGGATTTGTTTTTTAATGTATTTGTGTTGTTTTGATAATTCTATGCTTATGTTTTGCATACTCTGTATGTAGGTGTTTTGCTATTTCATAGAATCATAGAATCCTAGAGTTGGAAGAGATCTCATGGGCCATCCAGTCCAACCTCCTGCCAAGAAGCAGGAAAATTGCATTCAAAGCACCCCTGACAGATGGCCACCCAGCCTTTGTTTAAAAGCTTCCAAAGAAGGAAACCGCCCTGAGTCCCTTAGGGGAGATAGAGTGGTATATAAATAATTGTTGTATTATTATTATTATTATTATTATTATTATTATTATTATTATTATTATTGTTATTATTATGGTTAGGTAGGTGGAAAGCACACACTTGTGTCTTGGCAGGGTTAGTCTTCAGGTGAGATCTTTCAAGGCATTAGTAAGTTGGTTTTCAACTGTTTCAAAGTCTTTTGCTTTGGTAAGAAAAGGCTTTGCAACACATTTGAAGCATCTCAGCAAGAAGATGGCCAATCTCTTTCAAAAAATTAACATTTGGGATTTTGTAGTTTTTGGGAAAAATTGAAACATTTTTTGCCAAGAAAAAACTATATTTCACATTGCTGCTGGCTGCAGAGAGCACACAACTCCTCTTTTGCAGCAGGTAAGTGGTTGTGTAGGTAGGGGGCAATGTTCTGCTTATCCAAGACCCCCCAAAATATTGCTGACATTCAAGGGAACCACAAAGGACTGTATGATTCATCTCAAGGGCTCGATCTCTGAATTTTATATTTATGTTAAAACATAAATTATATTGTATTATTCCCCTCTGTTCTGAAAATCAGCATGTGACAATGCAGCCATCACCTGAGGCTGTACAGGTGAAATGTGTAGATAAAATCTGAATGAGATTTTTTTCCCATGTCAGGAACGACTTGAGAAACTGCAAGTTGCTTCTGTTGTGAGAAAATTGGCTGTCTGCAAGGACGTTGCCCAGGGGACACCCGGATGTTTGATGTTTTACCATCTTTGTGGGAGGCTTCTCTCATGATCCTGCAAGGGGAGCTGGAGCTGACAGAGGGAGCTCCCCCCCCCCCCCCCGGATTTGAACCTCTGACCCGTCGATCTTCCAGCACAAGAATTTAATCCACTGTGCCACGGGGGAGGGGGAGCATCTGAATGAGTAAATGAGCATGTTGCATAATAACACATTTGGAACGCACACAACATGACACTCAATGTGCAGAATCACACATTAGTCTTGGCTTCTGTACCTCTTTATTTCAAAGTAGCATAAAAGGATGAAATGAAATTGCTTACTTAAGTCTTCCATCAAAGTATGCTGGTGTTCCCAGAACAATCGTTTTTATGAAGAAAGGCTGGTTTGTGTGATTCTCTTCGTAGCCCCCAACAATGCTAAAGCCCCAGCTTGCCAAATTGCTCCTCCGTAGCACTACGTCGTGACAACTGTGCAGGCAACTGTGGAAACAGAGTATCACAAAATGAAAGGTATGTCTTGTAATTCTTTTGCACTAATCTAGCCCCCAACATACGTTTAGGGGAGTACTAAAAGGTAAAGTAAAGGTTTCCCTTTGACATTAAGTCTAGTCGTGTCCGACTCTGGGGGGTGGTGCTCATCTCCATTTCTAAGCCAAAGAGTCAACGTTGTCTGTAGATACCTCTAAGGTCATGTGGCCAGCATGACTGCATGGAGCGCCTTTACCTTCTTGATGAAGCGGTACCTATTGAGCTACTCACATTTGCATGTTTTCCAACTGCTAGGTTGGCAGAAGCTGGGGCTAATAGCAGGAGCTCACCCCGCTTCCCGGATTCAAACTGCTGACCTTTCGGTCAGCAATTTCAGCAGCAGCTCAGCAGTTTAACCTTCTGCAGTAAATTAAATTCTATGGGATTCTTTATGCTTACTTTGAACACTTGCTAACATTGTGAAAAATCCTAATTATATAATGCCTTTTCCCTTTAAGCAATTCTAATTGTTTCACATTAATGGTCAACTAATTTGACAATTAAATTTTTAAACTGACAATTAAAGCTCGTCCGCCAGCCACAACCATACCTCGTGAAGTCTGACTTGACCATGGTGGTCCATGCTTTAGTTACCTCTAGACTGGACTATTGCAATGCACTCTACATGGGGCTTCCGTTGAAGATGGCCCGGAAACTCCCAATTGGTCCAACGATCGGCAGCCAGACTACTAACTGGGGCGAATTACAGGGAGCGGTCTACTCCCCTGTTTAAGGAGCTCAATTGGCTGCCATTCATCTTCCGGTCTCAATTTAAGGTGCATGTTATCACCCATAAAGCCCTGAACTGTTTGGGACTCGTCTATCTCAGTGTCCGCATCTCCTACCATAAACCTGCACAATCTCTTAGATCCTCTGGGGAGGCCCTCCTTTCGCCCCTTCCCCCATCAGAAGTACAACTTGTGGGAATGAGGGAGAGAGCTTTCTCCGATGTGGCCCCTCGGCTTTGGAACTCACTTCCTGGGGAGGTTAGGGAAGCCCCCAACTTAGTAGCCTTTAAGCAACATATAAAAACTTGGCTCTTCCAATGTGCCTTTGGAGAGTGACCATATATTCCATTTCTGTCTGTTCCATCTACATGTTGTCCTCATGAGCCGCTTTTCCCCATCCTTAATGAAGGCCTAACCCCACTGTATACACCAGCCACAGGTAAACGTTGGCCCTCCAGGTGTTTTGGACTCCAACTTCCACAATTCCTAACAGCCTACCCGCTGTGGGAGATCTATACTGTCTTCCTGCCTGCCTTTCCAGTTCCCCATGCAAAACATTAGGTGCAAACATCCTCTATTGCTTATTAGGATGGATAGGTTACTTAAATGCACATCTCTCCAGCTCTTTCTCTAATGAGTTCACAGCACTGCACATGATTCTCATATTTCCTGTTTCAAACTTACAAAAAACCTTGTGAGGCAGGTCAAGTTGAGAGATAAAAACGGGCTTGAGATCACCCACCGTTTTGAGGGACTCTTATCACTACACCACACTGGCTCTCTAGTGACTAGATCATACTTTAACTTTGTAAAAAAGCACACCGTATAATGACTTGTCTACAAAGCAACAAGAAGATTATCTGAAGGCAACTAAAGGCCTGCTCAAACTAACATGCAACAGCTATAGAAGATTAGAGGAAGAACTATTGGTGTTTAGTTGGCTGTGAAGCAATACCTTGGAAGCCCCAGCCACATCACCCACGATGGAGACCAGCTTGCATCATATTCATTTTCGCTGATGGTGCTGGGAGGCTCGTCATTTGCCTGGGGCTGTTCTTCAGCAATCTGAACCTCCAAGGCTTTTAGGGCAACAACTGAAGAGGCAGCACTGGCTTTGAGCATTGCCACCGCCTCACTGTGACTTAGGTTGGTCAGATCAATGCCATTAATATTCATCAGCACATCACCTGGGAGAAAAGAAAGCAGAGGGGGAAAACTCTTATGAGGTGTTTAGACATGTTTGACTTCCCTACGCAGGAACACAAGTGCTCCTAACTAGCACTTGGATCAAATAAGCCAGTGTAGTCACAGTGCCACATACATGCTTGCATAATGCAAACTTATACTAATACAGTGAAAAACCTACATCACTCTTCTTGTTGTTATTATTATTATTATTTGATACATAACAAGACTAGTACGCAGCAAACAAGATCACTATGCTACCTCTTGCATTTGATTACACATCGGATACTTGCCAAGTGTCTAGGACTATGTGACATATTGGCATATAATGTGTGTAGATCCGAGTAGGGTGGCCTTTTGCACATGACAGATGGTAATTTTGTCAGTGCCGATTGTTTTTAAGTGCTGGCCAAGGTCTTTGGGCACTGCACCCAATGTACTGATCACCGATGGGACCACCTTTACTGCCTTGTGACAGAGTCTTTGCAATTATTATTATTATTATTATTATTATTATTATTATTATTATTATCATCCTGACACAAAAGCACAGTATGTCACAGCAAATGAGATCTATATACTGGATTTCATATCACAAAATCACAAGTCGAACACTTCCCAAGCGTCTAGGACTGTGTGATGTATTTTCAAATGATGTGCACAGATCCAAGTAAGATGGCCTTTTGCAGTTGACAGATCGTGATTTTGTCAGTGTTTATTGTTTCCAAATGCCGGCTGAGATCTTTTGGCACAGCACCCAGTGTGCCAACGACCACTGGGACCACCTGTACTGGTTTATGCCAGAGCCTTTGCAGTTCGAATTATTTATTATTATTATTATTATTATTATTATTATTATTATTATTATTATTATTATTTGATGTACAACAAGATTAGTACACAGTAAACAAGTTCACTATGCTTGCTTTTGTATTCAAGCACACATCAGACAATTCACAAGTGTCTAGGACTATGTGATGTATCAGCAAATAATGCATGCTGATCCCAGTAGGGTGGCCTTTTGCAACTGACAGATGGCAAATTTGTCAGCGTCTATTGTTTTTAAGCGCTGGCCAAGGTCTTTAGGAACTGAACCCAGTGTACTAATCACTGCTGGGATCACCTTTACTGGCTCATGCCAGAGACTTTGCAATTATTATTGTTATTGTTGTTATCATCACCATGCTTATGTTTATTTACATCCTGCTTTATCTCCCCAAAGGGGACTCTGACTCTGCTTATTGTCCCACTGGGCATTACAGTTTCTGCAAGCTCAGTAAATCAAATAGTATACTAAAAGTACTCACAAACCATCCAAGAACACAAAGCTGTGTGTAAAATGGTCATACAGTTTGAGCAACCCTTTTCTGGAATGACAACATCAAAATATTCCAAAATTGTCCACATGGGTGGTTGAGATAGGAACATCTTTGTTTTTTGATGCCTCAATGTACACAAACTTTGTTTCCTGCACAAAATTAATGGTTGTGTGTAAAATTAGCTTCAGGCTATATGTATAAGGTGCACATGAAACACATGAATTGCATGTTTACACTCGAGTTTTATCTCAGAGATATCTCACTATGTACATATATGCAGATATTCCAAAATCTGGGGGGGGGGGGGGGAAGAGAAATCCAAAACAATTTTTAACTCAAGCATTTCAAGTAACAGCTAATCATCCTGTACTTATGAAAATACAGTCATCACAAGGGAAGGGAAGCTCCAGTAAAAAGGCTGCCCATCTGCCTGCCTTCTTTTGTTATAGCTGCCTGACTCTGCCCAGAGTGCAGTCAGTATCATACTGTCTCTATAGGATGCTGGGAAATATCTCCTGCATAAGCTACATGGAGATGTGCAAGATGAATGAAAGAGGAGTTGTACAAGATTAATGGTGCCCCCCCCCCCTATATTTCAGCAGGATTTGCACATAACCGAACCAAGAGATCAATCCTTTCCCACCTCTTTTGATCCTGCCATCTCTGGCCAAGCAACCGTGAGGCTGTACGCTTGTGACAAAGATGGGGAGTTCTCCACTTTTGCTGCCTCTGCCTCCTGCTACAGTCATACCAAGGGATTCATGGGGCTCCTTCTTCACCGTGATGTGCTTCTCTTGGCAAGTCACGCACTGTGAGAGATCCTGAAAGAAGATAATAGGTGTTGACATTTGAGACAGACATTCAGGTCAACCTGGATCTGAAACCCACATTTAGTCACGTACAGGTGTATGTATGGGCTTCTCTTTCACCCTCTCTTTGATCTTGAATGCTTTAATAAAAATCCTGGGAAATGTAAAATATTAGTGGATCTTTTCTTATACCATTGATATTTAATTCAGACCGTACAATAGAGCATAATCACCTAAGTCAAATTGCGAATGCTACCTAGAATAAACTCACTGAACCATGGAATTTATGAAAGGGTTGACGTACTAAATTTCCATTGATTTAACAAATCTATTTTGGTTGGGATTATGAGGTAAAATTGTGCATTCCTCCAAATGTTGCTGGACTTCAATTCCCAGCATTCTTGACTTTGGCTATGATAGCTTGGGGTCCTATGTGTTCCAGTTCTAAACATCTGAATGGCGACAAGATTCCTGCCTTGGACAGACAATGGCATTTACACCCCCCATTCCAGCCTTTGGGGTAAAATGAAAATTAGAACCATGGGGTTTGTTTTATCTGCTCAAGTTTACACAAATGGAGACTTAAGTAGTTGCTGATATTATACATCCAGATCTTGCATGATGCCCTCCACTACATATAGACACCAGAGATGGTGGGAGTGGTCAGAATATGGAACTTCCCAAAACACATTGGGTATCCTTGGGCCAATCACTGTTTCTCAACCTAGCTTTTGTCGTAGTGTTGTTGTGAAGACAACATTAGGGGAAAGGGAAACTCACATATGCTGTTCTGAACTCAATGAAGGAAAGGTGGAACAAAAATGTAAAAAATGAATAAAACAATGATTTACAGTGTGATTGATCAGAACTATTTGAGACCATCTATCCATGGATGAGCCATTTTCCTACATGCCTGGTACCCTACTTGGCTCTTACACAGTTGGTGAGTTTAACTAACTCTTTTATTGATAATTGGGCACTATTTCTTTCAGCAAACCATAATATTTTGATTTTTTGTTGTTGTTGAAGGCTTTCGTGGCCAGAATCACTGGATTGCTGTGAGTTTTCTGGGCTGTATGGCCATGTTCCTGAAGAATTCTCTCCTGACGTTTTGCCCACATCTATGGCAGCCATCCTCAGAGGTTATGAGATATATTGGAAACTAGGCAAGTGAGGTTTATATATATGTGAAAGGTCCAGGGTGGGAGAAAAAATCTCTTGTCTTTTGCAGGCAAGTGTGAATGTTGTAATTAATCACCTTCTGGAACATGGCCATACAGCCTGGAACACTCACAGCAACCCATTTTGATTTTTGTTTTTCCTCAGTTTATCACTGTTCCCAATCTTCTGTTTGTTCTGTCTCAAATTTGCATGTGTTTTTTTAAAAAGAAAATCTGAACAAGAATTATCTGGAGATTAGGATATGGAGAAATGGATTCAAACTGCAGGATAAGAAATTCCACCTAAACATTAGGAAGAACTTCCTGGTGGTAAAAGCCATTTGGTACGAAAATATGCTGCCTCTTCAGAGTCTGGTGGAGTCTGGATGATCATTTCTTGGGGGTGCTTTCATTGAATGTTCCCGAATGGCAACGAGTGGGACTGCATGGCCTTTGGAGTCTCTTCCAACTTAAGGTTTTCATAGTTCTATGAATTCATTTTTGTGCAATTTCTGCCAACATAAAGCAAATTTGTGTGTAATTTTTTTTAAAAAAAATACATACCCTTTGTGTGTAATGTTCCCTAGCATATTTTGCATTGCGTTTTTTGAGACCTGGATTGCAAAAATAAAACAAGGATGAATGTATTTTGATTCATGTATTGATTTAAGAAATGCAGATTATGTTGTTGTTTTTCTTTGTTTTTCCCTTTTCCCCAGCATCTCCAAGCTTTCTTGTCTTCTCATTATGTGGCCAAAGTACTTCATCTTTGCCTCTAATATCCTTCCCTCCACTGAGCAGTCAGGCTTTATTTTCCTGGAGTATGGACTGGTTTGATCTTCTCGGTGTCTAATTTCCCTCCAACACACAAGGTTATGAGCCTGCATTAAAATGGAAACCAAACAAATATAACCCCTAACTCCCAAATAAATGGCAGCCTGTTGAGACGTACCCTGTGTGGGCTGGGCCTGCTGCTGTGGTAGAGCGTGTGAGACGGGTGCTGGCTGACTGGGTGGGTGCCTCCATCTCTTAGGATGCTCACAATCTGAGACTTGGCAGGTCTGGAAATGGTTAGACTCACCCGCTCTCCGCTGGCCTGAAGAAGAACATGGAGTAAAATCAGTGAGCCATACAGTTGTAAGAAGGAAAACATTAAAAGATTCTTCAAGCTAAGATAAGAACCACAGATTCTCAAGTTATGCTACACTGCAGGAACCAATGCAATCACTTTTTAGGTATATGTTTGTATAATTCCTCAGTCGTGAATTTCTAAAATATTTGGTGCAAACATGTCCACAGTTTTAAAAACCCTCTTCCATGTCCTGACACAGTGCATTGACATCTTTGGTGGGAACAGAGCATATCATCCTCCTCAGCAGATCTCAATCCTTGAGTTATTAAAAAAAAAATATGTCAATTGAAATGTTAAAAGCCAGTAAAACAAATCAAATCAATAAACAAAACAAAACAAAGTGACTTACTAAAAACCCACATTAGCTACCAAAAAAAGGTTGCCTGATCTTTTAAAAAAGTATTTGTAGTACAAGGGAAACAGATCTAGTTTCTTTGACAGGGACTTTCACAGCCTGCGAGTGTTAGCTGAAAATGTCCTCTCTCATGTTCTCACAAATTTAATTTGGGAAGTTGGACTAAGTGAAGGGTCCATAAAGATCTCAATACCAGGGCAGGCTCCCTTGTAGGAAAATCATTCTTCAGCCAGCACAGACTCAAAAGAAAATACTGGGTTACAAGGACAGTCCAATCTGCTTCAAAGGCAGCTCCTTATGTTCTTATGAGGAGAGCTGCATTTCTTGGTTGAATAGTGCTAAGTTGGTGCTTTTCTGTCCCAGACATCTTAAGCTCTTTCACTATGCTAGAACTGGAAAAAATTATGCTGAAAAACAATTTCCCCCCACTAGAACAGTTGGAATACAGCCATAGGTAGAACTGTTAGAAATAGCAACCTTCCAAGCCTTCACTATTTGTCTGTTAATGTATATATTTGCTAACCTGTAGTCTATGTATATATTGATTAGCCAGTTTGGCTCACCTCTTTGGTGTGGGAGGGGCTACAAACATGTGATTGTACTGAGAATGGTTCAACTCCACTATATTTTGTTATTGGTACGTTTTTGGATTTCAATGGTAGCACTTCGCTTAGACCTCAGTGGAGGTGGATGCTGTATGCTCTTGGACTTCAATGGAAGCAGATGTCATTTGTTTACTATATGTTTGCTTTGAGAAGCAGTGAGTATAGTTATACAGTTTGGACTTTCATAATACGTAACATAACAAGACTTTGGGCTATTGATTAAGAATGATGCCCTGTGTTCTCAACACAGAGAAACTACATCCTATCTATAACTGAACTTTAATAAGAAACGGGCATGTATGGTGAATGAATACAATATGTTTGTGAGTAAACAAGAGATGTTACTTTTTAAAGAAGACTTTGTTTTTGTCTTTGAGTGCATATTTTAAACTAAGAGGTTTCAAGGGAGAATATATGTTTTGGGTAACTGCAATTTCAACTTCAACTTCAAAGAAACGGTTTTTAAACTTTGCTAGCCAAATATATGAGTTTTTGTGCAGTGGCATGCCTTTGTCCCTGGCAGTTCAAAGACATGGTTTATCAGTTTAATAGATGATTTACCTGTGTGCCATTACATGAATGCTTGTGAACATCACTTTTTCAAAGGGTTGACTTCTAAAAAGGTCATGTCTTTCCTTAACTACTGGTTTTCAAAAGGTGGTCTCCAGATGTTCATGTCACATTTGCCAAAAGGATATAACATCATTTTTCCTTTTCAAAAAGTTTATGAATGCATTTGCCCCCAAAAAAGAACAGTAGTTTGTGTGTATAGCCTTTGCTTTTCCAACTGACAAGCAAATATTAAGTGATATAAGAGAAAAATAATTTCTGCTGTGGTATCTTTTTATTGGGAGAACGACAATGAAGATAAACTGAGAGGTTTCTATTGGTTTACAGCATACAAGGGTTAATCAAAAATGGATAAAAGGCATCATACATAAAAATGTCTTTTAATCGTGGTGATTTATCATAGTAACAAAACTGCATGACTATATTCAAGAATGTTGTAGCAGTTCCTTTAATGCAGGAAAATAATGCTGTTTATATTTTATGCCACAAGATGTCCTGTTACGGACTGCTTTCCTATGGAAGCCAAGATAACACGTATGCTTGAAATTGTAATGAAGGAGGCACTGAGATATTGGGACCATTTTGCAAGCTGCAAGATGTCAACCTGCCACTAGCACCATATTTACAGAAGGTGGGTTTTTTTCCTGAAGGGGGCGGTGATTTGCAAATAATGGAGCGGAAAATGTTAACAGCTTGAGCCTCTTGAAGATAGTAGTTAGATATGCCATTTCTCTATTGAAACTTTTCCCTAAATGAGACATGGTATCTAATAGAATGATGGGCAAGATATAGTTCACTAGTTGCATGTGGCTTCCCATCCATCTTTGCAGCTTTCACAGGCCTTGTGGGATTTCCTGGCAATTGCTGTCATCGCCATGGAAGGGGAAAAGCACTGTTTACTTTTAAGAATGGGTTTTCCTTTCCTGCCTTGATAATAAACAGATAACAGGCATACCTCTGTAATCGAAGCCAGACAAAGCAGATCTGTTTTACAAAGGCTTTGTACATCCGTCCAGTGCCCTCTCATTTCCTCCTATCCTCTGTCTAGCTCAGGGGTGAACAATTGTGGAAAGTTAGCTGGCTGCAGAACCCCCCCCCCCCTGGAGACCCTGGTAGCGAAATGGGTTAAACCTTTGTGCTGGCAGGGCTGCTGACCAAAAGGTTGGTGGTTTGAATCCAAGGAGCGGAGTGAGCTCCTGTCTGTCAGATCCAGCTTCCCATGCGGGGACAAGAGAGAAGTCTCCCACAGGATGGTAAAACATCCTGGCGTTCCCTGGATAACATCCTTGCAGACGGTCAATTCTCTCACACCAGAAGTTACTTTCATTTTCTCAAGTTGCTCTTGACACAAAACTAGAAAAAGTAATCCCCCAGAAACTTTGAATGGTCAAACATCACACAGCACCTTATGAAAAATAGAGGGGACAATGTAGACCCTCAATACCAAACAGCTGCCTATTCCTGTAACAGATAATTGTGACCCCATTCTTATTTATTTTGAGCCTTACCTGGATAATCTGAGCAGCCAATTCAGGTGTGCCATGCTTCAGGTCATGCCCGTTGATGGCCAACACCTTGTCATTGCTACACAGCCTTCCATCCTGAGCAGCCAGGCCCCCTTCTAAAAGGTCAAGGATAAAAACTCCCGGCTCATCCGTTCTGCGCACTAACTTAATGCCAAGTTGCTCACTGGAATCTCGTTTGTGCAAGGTCACGTGAAAACTTTCCTCTCGCTGGGGAGGGCTGTCACTGTGGTTGTGAGTTCGGCTCCCAAAGCGTCTCTCTCGGAGAACTGTGAGGTGCAACACTGCGCAAGGCTGGGATAGAATAGCTCTGGCGTGGTTGTGGGATACATTGCTGATATCAGAGTTATTGACCTGGAGGGGGGGAAAATAAGTGGAAACCTGTAAGAAAATGCTACAAACAGTCATGCTCATTTTAGGAAACTCCATTCCATTTGCCCTCCCGTTTCCTCCCATTCCATCCTTCCCTACAACAAATTGCTGTAGTATGGTAAACTACAGCCACCCATGTCCTTTTCTAGAATAATCTATTTCATTTGTCCTCCCCTGTTTTTGTATTTTTGCAACAGCTGTGTCTTCTACAAACTTGTTCCTCTCTCCCCTGTTCAGTATAGGTAATTCTATTTGGGATAATGATAAAAATAAGAACCCAAGCTGGGGAAAAGCATATAAATTCACACTTTTTCCTCATTGTCAATTTTTAGACTACAACTCCATTTAGTCATGTTGTCTGGGGGATTCAGGGTGCAAGGAAGCCCTGCATCCTGTTAAAAAATGAATTGATACTTCTGAGAACTACCAAAAGAGATCTTTTATTTTGACCACAAAAACAGGAGGCTGGTGGCTCCAAGGGCCACAAAAACAGCATTGACAGCCACATGGGATCGACAGCTGTGCCTCCCTGAGTTAAAGGGAGGTACAAAATGATCAGAGGTCTGGAAATTAAGCCCTAGGAGAAGTGGCTTAGAGAGTTGGGTATGTTTAGCCTGTATAAGAAAAGGAGACATGATCACCATGTTTAACTATTTGAAAGGATGTCATAGGGAAGCGGGAGCTTGTTTTCTGCAGCCCTGGAGACTAGGACAAGGTTTTGCTATAGGTTCAAATGACAGGGAAAGGAGAATCCAACTGAATATTAGGAAGAACTTCCTGATTGTAAGATCTGTTCAACAGTGGAACTCTCTGCCTCAGAGTATGGTGGAAGTTCCTTCCTTGGAGACTTTTAAAAAGAGGCTGGATGGTCATCTTTTGGGGGTATTTTCTGCTTTGCATGGCAGGGGGTTGGACTAGATGGCCCATGTGGCCTCTTCCAATTCTATGATTATATGATTCCATGATTCTATGAAAATGTACACCAAGTTGGTATCAAGCAAAAGTTATAGAGATGATCAAAGACAATATATACCACTGGGCATTGCAAATTATGCTACTGTATTATTACAAGTAATTCCACAGGATGTTGTGCGTTGCAGGACAGCTTCCGGCAAGCCTTTCACATCATTCAACAGAGGAAGACAGACAGACAGCTGTCTGACTTCCCACATTTAGAAAAAAATGCAATGGAACCAAAACAGTGATAGGTTGAAAACCCCAAGAGCTATGTTACTCACTATATCAACAGTGAAATAGTAAATCCTCCTTTGTCTGAATAATATCATTTTTTTACAACCTGAAGCTGCTAACGTTTGCCCAGAAACAAGGAATAGCAAGTGGCTGCCAGGAAATTATGACTCTTTTCTGGCCACATCTCCTCCATTTGATATGGCGCTGCAGAGTCTCGACAGACGTAAGCACAGATGAATGTATAATTACAGACATACTTGCAGTATTTGATCTCCAGCAAGGAGCCGTCCATCTCTAGCAATAATCCCATCTCGATAAACTTCCTGAATAACAATGTTGATCAAAGGTGTTTCATTGCCACCCACGATGCTAATTCCCAGCTCAATATAAGGATTGGACCGATGGATTTCAATGGTTGTGATCTCGCCTTCTGGCAAACTTGGCGGGTGATGGGTTGCTGCCCGATTTGAAACAAAAAAACCCACACTCAATATGTACACACACCTAAATAGATTTGCCCACCACATATAGAAGGAACTGTCAGACATGCAACAAAAGGACACCTGGCATGATGTGATACAAATAAATTTCAACTGAACCAGCACAACTTGTGCAAATGCAAAAAATGAGCCCTCTCCTTTTGCAGTCTCAGGTTGGGAGGAAATTAAACCAGCAGTCTTATGGAGCTTTGATGGAAAAGTTAAATTTGGGGATTGCAACTTCCAGAATTCCTCAGCTGTTGTTAGGTGACATCCATTCATTTCTGATTTCTGATTACTCAGCCTAAGACAATCCTTTCGTTCAGAGGGGATTATCATTACTTTCCCCTGAGGCTGGGAGACTGTGAATGGCCTAAGATCAGCCAGTGGAGTTATTAGAAGAAACAACACTTGTTTCTGCACTTGTTCTTGCTGCTCTTTTGTCCACTAAGAAGGATATGGTTAAGACAGAGAGACCTTTCTCAGCCCTGATTCCAAATATGTTATGGGAATATAACATTGTGTGTTCAGTCAGGTTTAATTGCACTCTGTTGTACAGACTGAACCTCTCTGCAATTTGATGCGGAAAGATGTGCCACAAGATATCTCCACCCGCATTTTAGATTCAAATAGAAAGGATCATGCTATAACACAAACATGGGCAAACTTTGGCCCACCAAGTGTTTTGGACTTCAACTCCCACAATTCCTAACAGCTTGAGGCCCCTTCCTTTTCCCCCTCAGCCGCTTGAGCTAGGAATTGTAGGAGTTGAAGTCCAAAACACCTGGAGGGCCAAAGTTTGCCTATGCCTGTGCTATAGCCATCCAAGAATGTACTTCCTCAACAAATGTGGCTCCTCTTGAGGATTCTAAACTTCTTTTTCTTTCAAGCTCCAAAAATGGATACTTCCATTGTGTCTGGAATAAAAACTCTAGCAGGCCTTTCATTTCAGTAATAATCACTCACAACCCTTCCTGTTTACATGGGTTTCTGAGTGGGAATTCAAACCCTGATCTCCCAGGGTCCAAGTCCAACACTCAAGCAACTACATCACATTGGCTCCTCTGAATCCCTCGTTTATCTAAACAAGAAAAACTCGGGCAGCCATTCAACACTGATAGGTTTCATCCGAACAGGAAGGTCATCATTTGGGCTTATTTGATTTGAGCCATATCATATTAATCTATTTAAATGTTTACATTTTACCTGTTCTACCTCGGCTTCACAGGTCAAGGCTATCCCAGGCCCTATCATGAGAAGGAACGACTCACTAGAAAAGATTTTGTGTGTGTGTGTGTGTGTGTGTGTGTATGTGTCAGGAGCGACTTGAGAAACTGCAAGTCACTTCTGTTGTGAGAGAATTGGCCATCTGCAAGAATGTTGCCCAGGGGACGCCCAGATGTTTTACCATCCTATGGGAGGCTTCTCTCAATGTCCCCGCATGGGAAGCTGGAGCTGACAGACAGGATTCAAACCACTGACCTTTTGGTCAGAAGTCCTGCCAGCACAAGGGTTTAACCCACTGTACTTGGGGGGCTCTAGTAGGAAAATAGTAAGGCTGCATTCCTAATGCAGCGACTCAATCAAGGAACTGCAAAATCTGAGCAGGGTTTTTGAAAGTAAAGTGACTTGGAGGTGTCTCATTCATATTGTCACCATAAGTCAAAGTCGACTTGAAGGCAGTTAACGCCAAAAACAAATGAGAGAAAGGATTTCTTAATGAGCTAGTGAGATTAAAGTTGAATAACAAAACAGGTGAATGGAAAAAGCAATTGCTTGTTTGCATTCAAGAACAAAGTCTGTCTTTGAGACTGCCTAGGGTTTTGGTTTCTTTTAAAAATACATTTAATGGCGACAGATCAAACAGGATGTCAAGGGAGAAACAGAACATACTGTCAGCTCCTGTGCTCTCCTCAAAGGCAGGGTTGTCAAGGCCAGACTCATCTGTCCACACTGGAACAGTGGCTGATGTAATGTTCTGCTCGGCTGGTGTCGTTCCCGTCCCGGCATGCTCTGCATCCGGAGACTGGGAACCGGGGCGATCGATCACACTGCTCTCATTTTCACTCTCAGTGTCAGTCTGCAGCTTGCTGTTTTTCCTTCTCTCCAAGGCGACTCGTCGATGGGAAGCCCCAGGACATCTAGGGATGAAATAGTAAACACACAGTCACAAAAGCAGGGAACTGCACAAAATGCCTGAGCACAATTCAATCTTCCTTATGCATTTGTTGAGTACTATTTTTTTCCAACAGAGTGCCCACCAGATATTTCAGACTGCAATATCCATAATCCCGGTCTACTCATTAAGTTGGTCTCGCTTGATGAGAGTCCAAAATATCTGGCACGCAATGCAGTGAGAAAGGCTTTTAGCATCTTGTTAAAATACTCATGATTTTGATGAGAACCTAACAATGAAACACCAATACAATCAGCTCCCCAAATGCACAGATTCTGTAACCACAGATTCAACCTTCCACAAATTGAGACTTTTTTAAAAAATCGCAAAAGCAAACCTTGATTTTGCCATTTTATATAAGTAGCTAAAATTGAAGCATGAACTACAACAATAGATGTCATGTCTGATACTAAACAAAAATAGAAGATGCAAATACAGGAAGTCTCCAAGTTAAAAACATGCGATTTGCAAATGACTCATATTTACAAATGGGGAGAGACAATAGGAAGTGAGAGAAATCTACCCATAGGAAGAGAAATTCACTTCTGGAAGACTTATCAAGTGGTCTCCAATGAAGCTTTATCACCAGTCCTTGTTTCCAAAACAAGCATTTTCCCCCCCAAAATTCAGTTATCACAGAGACAGAAAGTGCAGTGATATCTTCGGAATAAAGGCACAGATAGAAAAACAAATATCACAGGGGTGCAACCCTTCCCTGTTATCCAAAGCCTACACACATACACACACTAAGGCTGGTGTAACACTTAAAATGTACCTGTTCCAACTAACAAACAAATTCAGCTTAAGAACAAACCTAGAGAACCGATCTCGTTCATAACCTGGGGATTGCCTGTACAAAGTTACAGATGTTACTGGGAATTACCAGCAAATAATCTAGAATAACCAATGTCACATATTATTTTTAAAAACCCAGAATTCCAGCCACAAGTATTTGAAACTCTGACAACGTTTGCCCTTTTTGTTTCTGCCTTATAAAATCGCAATAAAAAGAGAACAAAACATCAACAAATAAATAGCAGATTGTGAAGTGTCGATGTTGGGTGCTACCTATAGGTCTATCACTTAGAAGTGGGCAGGGAACATAAAGTCCTCCATAAGTTGCTAGATCATTGAGGACCCTTCCACACAGCTGAATAAAACCCCACATTATCTGCTTTGAACTGGGACATATGACAGTGTGGACTCAAATATTCCAGCTCAGATAAAGCGGATGTTGTGGGTTATTCTGCCTTGATATTTTGGGTTATATGGCTGTGTGGAAGGACCCAGAATTGGAAGAGACCACCAGGACCAATCCATCCAACTCCATTCTGCCAGCCAGAAATACACAATCAAGGCACACCTGATAGATGATCATTCAGCCTGTTTAAAAACCTCAATAGAAGGAGACCCTACCATCATCCAAGGCAACAGTTTATCAGCCCTAACTGCCAGAAAGTTTTTCATAATCGGTTTCCCCAACAGTTTCTAGCTAGTGATAAGGAATAATAGAAACTGTAGACCAAAACACTTGGAGGTGTACACATCCATGTTTGTATAAATGTCTTAGAAGAATCTTTAAATGTGAATCTCAAGAATTTTTGGTACATACTAAGTGGAATGTGGAGTGGCCTGCACTTAAACACAATCGGCGCTGACAAAATTACCAGCTGAAGAAGACCACCTTACTGGGATCTGCACGCAATATTCGCCAATACATCACACAGTCCTAGACTTGGGAAGTGTCTGACGTATGATCCAATACAACAGCCAGCAAAGTGAAACAACTCATCTTGTTGTTTTTCAAATAATAATAGTATGAGTGAATGCACCTGGCTAGCTGTCCATATTCTCCTGTACAACAAACAAATTATTCAGTGAAATTTCACAATTTGGAGAACATTTTTCACAGAATCATGAAATTACAGAAGAGTTGAAAGAGACCACAAGAGCTATTCAGCCCAATCCCCTGCCATGCAGGAACACACAAAAGTACCCCTGGCAGATGGCCACCCAGCCTCTGCTTGAAAACCTCCAGAGAAGAAGAGTCCACCATACTCCGGGGCAGCATATTCAACTGCCAAATAGCTCTTACCATCAGGAAGTCATACCTAATATTTATGTTGAATGTTTTGTTGCATACTGGGCAATTGCCCTTACTTTTTGAGTTTTTGATTGCTTTTCTAAAGAATCTCCAAATAAAAAACAATCACCTTAAAATAAATAATGGCAACGCCTTTTTCAGTGTGACTTTTGGCAAAGCCCAGTCCAGAACTACTAAGGCAGCGTTTCTCAACCTTCCTAATGCCGTGACCCTTTAATACAGTTCCTCATGATGTGGAACCATAACATTATTTTTGTTCCTACTTCATAACTGTAAATTTGCTACTGTTATGAATTGTAATGTACATATCTGACATGACGGATGTATTTTCATTCACTGGACCAAATTTGGCACATATACCCAATACGTCCAAATTTGAATACTGGTGGGGTTGGGAAGGGGATTGATTTTGTCATTTGGGAGTTGTAGAATTGGGCCAAACTTCCCACACAGAACCCCCATCAGAAAATACTGTGTTTTCTTATGGTCTTTGGTGATCCCTCTGACACTCTCTCGTGACCACCTCCCGCCCCCCCTGAGGTCTAGACCCCCGGGTTGAGAAACACTGTACTAAGGTTTTATAAAAATAACATATACTTGGGAATGAGATTTTATTACAGATGAACTGGAAGCATTCCACGAGGTTTGAGGCTCTCAAGGGAATCTGATGAACCTGAAAATCTGATAAACCAAGGGGATGCTAATGAGGCAAAAGGGTAATATCGGAGGTGGGACTAGTGACCAGGAAATAATTACATTTGTGCCTCATTCTTCTAATCTCCTTGCTAAACTGGTTTGCAAATTTGCCACACACTCTACAACTGCCTCAGGGTTCCATTGACATTATATTCAGCCTTTCCACTTAAATGAAGCCAGTTATTTAGTCAATGGAAATTACCAGGTCTGAGTTTGAAAGTCTACAATATCAAGGCCAAGCAGATCTGTTCAGTTATATAAGGATCACAATAATACAGGGTGTAGGGCTTGGACCTGGGAAATGGGGCATGATTCCAGCATTATGGCAATTTTATGAGAGTTGTAATTTTTGATAGATTACGTTTTATTTAAGTTATAGTTGTTATGTTTAGGATATCTTTTATGTGGTATTATTCTGGGTTATTATATTTGTATTTATTGTCACTGAGGCATTGAAAGTTTGCCTTTTTGTTGGAATCCACCCTGAGTCCACCAAGGGAGATAGGGTGGAATATAAATAAAGTATTATTATTATTATTATTATTATTAGTAGTAGTAGTAGTAGTAGTAGTATAACTTTGACCAACCAGCAAAAGTTATATCCAATGGAATCCTGGGTTTCATGAGGCACTACAACTTTTTGGCTGAGAATTATAAACTGCAATTCTCATGATTCGATAGGAGTTTTGCACTATGATCCCACTGTAAGTGCCATGATTCCATTTGGAATCCTGGCAATTAAAGTGGAATCATACTGCAAACGTTGTGTTATGTGAAAATGCCATAGAAATTGTTGGAGCATACAAGGAATCAGTGAGTTTGTGTGTGTCAACTGTAAAATAAGATGATGAAGCTGATTGGTCGGGCAATGCCTGGAGAGATGGCTGAGCCTGGGACTTTTGGATGCTGTTACATTTTTGTTCAGGCTTGAACTATGCACGTGCACAGAGAGAAGAGTGAAGCAGAGAGAGGCAAAGTTTGGAGTGTGCTCTTGCTTTGTGAGACATGGACAAAGAAAGACTATTTTAAATCTCTCATAAAAGCACATTATGTGAGTTGATGCTTAAGCGGCTGAGGGGGGAAAGGAAAGAGCCTGAGACTGTTAGGAATTGTGGGAGTTGGAGTCCAAAACACCTGGAGGGCTGAAGTTTGCCCATGCCTGGTTTAACCTCTGGTTTGCTACTAAAACTGAATTACTGTGTCACAAAATGTTAGGACATTAAGATCGTCCGGGGAGGCCCTGCTCTCGATCCCGCCAGCCTCACAAGCGCGGCTGGTGGGGACGAGAGACAGGGCCTTCTCAGTGGTGGCCCCTCAGCTGTGGAATGCCCTTCCCGCAGACATTAGATCGGCCCCTTCCCTACTGGCATTCAGGAGAAGAGTGAAGACCTGGCTCTTTGAACAGGCGTTTAATTAAGCAGTGCAATTAATTGATTGATCATTGGAACACGGAATAATGGACAAGGAGATCAGATTATGACTTTACTGATGAAACGTGATGGATTAGTTATACGGATGTATTGATGTTATATTGATGTACTGATGTACTGTTATATTGATGTAGTTGCCATGATTACTGTTTTAAATGCTCATGCTGTCCACTTTGTATACTGATTTGGTTGTAAACCGCTCTGAGTCGCCTACGGGCTGAGAGAGAGAGTGGTATACAAATGAAGTAAATAATAATAATAATAATAATAATAATAATAATAATAAAATGATGCATATCTAAAAAGTTGTGTCAGCGACATGAAACATTTAGAAAGCTCTGATTTAGAGGAAGGGAAGGAAAGGCTTGGAAGAAAAGAAATACACGTTACGCCCAGAAGTTGTATGAGGCCCCTCGCTTCTTTGCCTTACCTGTTTTTGAGGTGAGCTTCCAGGTCGCAACGTTGCATGATCTCATCACACACTGAAGCAAAGGGGCATGACACAAAGAGCTTGTCGAGCAGTTTATGAACAAGAATGCTGGATTTTTTGCACAACTTAAAATGGAGCCTTTTGCGATCCAAAGGGCAGAAATCCTTCTCCTGCAGAAAGTTCCGTAGGCACTTGTAGCAGAATGTGTGACCACAAGGGGTGTCTAATGGCTGTAGCAAGGGTTGAAGGCAAATATGGCAGACCAAGTCATCGTCCACATCGTTCTGATAATTGTACAAGTGGTTCTCCCTCGTCCAGTGCTGTTGCCCGCATTCAAAGCACAGAGGGTTCAAGTTCTGTTCCACCGGGACCGTCTCTTCATTTGTGGTGCCCATTATAAAGCAATGTGATGGGGCTCCCTTGTCAATGGAGAAATAGAGGTTTCATTTGTTCTTTGTGGTTTTTCTTCTTTAGAGAGGAATCACTTCTCTGAAAAAGTGCAAAATAAATAAATAAATTATTGATACAAATACTGATTGCTACCACTATAAGAGGAGCAAAAATATTGAAAACATAACTGAGAAGACTGAGTGGGAACATGACAAGGTAAAGGTAAAAGTTTCCTCTGACATTAAGTCTAGCCGTGTCCAACTCTGGGGGGTGGTGTTCATCTTCATTTCTAGGCTGAAGAGCAGGCATTGTCCGTAGATACCTCCAAGGTCATGTTGCCAGCATGACTGCATGGAGCGTCGTTACCCTCCAGCAGAAGTGGTACCTATTGTTCTACCATTACAACATGTTGGTTTATTGTTATGTATGAGCACTTATAGGGAGCCCTCGGTGGCGCAGTGGGTTAAAACCGCTGAGCTGCTGAACTTGCTGACCGGAAGATCACCAGTTCAAATCTGGGGAGCGAGGTGAGCTCCCATTGTTAGCCCCAGCTTCTGCCAACCTACCAGTTCGAAAACATGCAAATGTGATAAATACGTACTGCTCTGGTTAGAAGGTAACAGTGCTCCATGAAGTCATGAGCACTGTTACCTACATGACCTTGGAGGTGTCTACAGACAATGCTGGCTTTTCAGCTTAGAAATGGAGATGAGTACCATCCCCAGAGTTGGACACAAATGGACTTAATATCAGGGGAAAAACTTTACCTTTACCTTTACCTTATGAGCAATTATATGCTTCTTGGCTATGTGAGAACAAGGGGAAATGAGTGAGCATTTAGGTTCCAAAGAAAAACAATTTGATTTGTTGATAGTACAAAATAAATGCTTCTATTGTGGAACAAACTTTAAGCTTGTTTGAAGCTGGAGAAGGCACAGACATAAGTACATAAATGTTTGGCTCCATTCCTCTCTCGTTCAGTCTTTTTTTTTTTTTAAGAATACTTATTTCAGCTTTTATGCATATGAGAAGTCAGAGGAATATATCAAACGTTGATCCTTTTGCTAATCTCAATGACAGGCCATTAGCAATTACATTCTGTATGCACCACCCTAAATGTATATGGTTTTTGATGATGCCTATTGATTATGCTTACTTATTGCTCTGTCTGCATTTTAATGTAATTGGCTTGCAATGTGTTCTTTGATTGTTTTAAATTGCTTTGTTATTTTACCAATAGTCACCCTGGGCATATAACAGATGGAAAGGCAGGATAAAAAAATAAAGTAAAGAACAAACAAATGTGGAAAGTTCAAATAATATCCTGTGAGCAAGCAAAGGCATAATACTGACCTGGTTTGAATGATCCCTAAACTGTGGGATCTCAGATGACTATGCCTCATCATTGATTGACAAACCAACATTAGTGCTCCAGCAGAATTAAGTTGCTCTTTTTTAATTGTGCAAGCAATAGCACTTCTGTTATTGTAGTTCCTATGCATCGCAAGGCTTGTATATTTGGTATAGGATGTGCAACCATTCATGAAAGCTATTATGTAACTTTGGTCCCCCAGTTGTTTGGGACTTCAACTCCAGAAATGCCAGCCAGCTTACCAGTTGTTAAGAACTGTGGGAACTGACGTCCAAAATACCTGAAGGGAACCATTGCTACGTATAACTTGTTCCTTGTGCTGAGTAACATAAATTGCATCCCCCTCCTGGTACATATTCTGGAGCTAAGTATCTAGAGTGACACTTTTGACATGCCATTGGATATTGGCCCAGGAAATTAAACCAAAGTTCCCCAGTTTAGAAGCAGTGGGAAACTCTGGTTTCATTCTGGCCAGGATCTTCTGTCCAAAACCATCATCTAACAGGGAGAAAGAGAAGAGAAAAGCACTAGAGGGCCAACATTCATTATTGGTTTCATAAATCAGTTTGTGGAGCTATCAGCCAAGTAAGGCCATGGTCTTCCTATTAAGCACAATTAGCAAGGCTACACAAGGAAATATGAACTTTATCAGTTGTTCCCTAATCTCAGTTATAGTAATTTCAGTTCCTGGAGCTAATGTTGGCTATTCTGGAGGACAAAGCTTGTGCACCAGCTGTGACCATACCTCAAGAAGTCTGACTTGACCACTGTGATCCATGCCTTAGTCCCTTCCAGACTGGATTACTGTAATACGCTCTATGTGGAGCTGCCTTTGAAGATGGCCTGGAAATTGAATTTGGTGCAAAAGTCGGTGGCCAGGTTGATAACTGGAGCTAATTATAGGGAGTGGACAACCAGCTCCCCCAATTAAAACAGCTCCACTGGCTGCCGATAAGTTTCTGGTCCGAATTCAAAGTGTAGGTCATCACATACAAAGCCCTAAACCAGTGGCTCTCAACCTGTGGGTCCCCAAGTGTTTTGGCCGACAACTCCCAGAAATCCCAGCAAGTTTACCAGCTGTTAGGATTTCTGGGAGTTGAAGGCCAAAACATCTGGGGACCCACAGGTTGAGAACTGTCCTAAATGGTTCGGGTCCTGCCTATCTTCGCAATCACACATCCCCTATGAACCTGCATGAGCTTTAAGATCTGCTGATGAGGCCCTTCTCTCACTCCTGCCTCCATTACAAGCATGATTGGTGGGGATGAGGGAGTGGACCTTCTCAGTGTACCTTTGATTAATTGGTTCATCTATTAACTAGGCCTCCCTAGCCCTAACTCATTTTCTGGTCTTGTAGTACTTTATTACCCGTCCCACCCCTACAGCTATATTGCACTAGCCCTTGCCTCACCCTCCTAGATCTGAACATGCCCACTGTAATCGGCTACTGGTTGATGGTTATTGTTGTTCATATGTTTTTAGGATCACCGCCTTGTCGGGGCGCTGGAGCTTGAGCACCTCAATGATGTCATGAGCGAAACCGTGAAGGGACACCCAAGACGGGACGGTTGTGGCAGAGAGGTCAGACCAAGCGTGATCCCTGGGGAAGGCAATGGCAAACCACTCCAGTATCCTTGCCAAGAAAACTAAATGGACCAGTACAACCAGAGATATGTCGGGATGCCATTGGAAGATGGGACTCCCAGGTCGGAAGATGGCCAAAATGCTACTGGGGAGGAGCAGAGGATAAGTTCAACTAGCCCCAGATGTGATGACGCAGCTAGCTCAAAGCCGAAAGGAAGGCTAGCGGCCGACGGTACGGGAGGTGAACGACGAATCCGATGCTCTAAAGATCAACACACCATAGGAACCTGGAATGTAAGATCTATGAGCCAGGGCAAATTGGATGTTGTTATTGGTGAGATGTCAAGACTAAAGATAGACATTCTGGGGGGCAGCGAACTGAAATGGACTGGAATGGGCCACTTCACATCAGATGACCACCAGATCTACTACTGCGGACAAGAGGAACATCGAAGAAATGGAGTAGCCTTCATAATTAATAAGAAATTCGCTAAAGCCGTGCTTGGATACAACCCAAAAAATGACAGAATGATCTCAATTCGAGTGCAAGGAAAGCCTTTCAACATTACAGTGATCCAAATATACGCCCCAACCACAGCTGCTGAAGAAGCAGAAGTAGATCAGTTCTATGAGGATCTGCAGGACCTACTGGATAATACACCAAAAAGAGACATTATTTTCATTACAGCAGACTGGAATGCCAAGGTGGGAAGTCAAATGACAACAGGGATCACAGGCAAGCATGGTCTGGGAGAACAAAATGAAGCGGGACGCAGGCTGATAGAATTTTGCCAGGAAAACTCGCTGTGTATAACGAATACTCTCTTCCAACAACCTAAAAGACGGCTTTATACATGGACCTCACCAGATGGTCAACACCGAAATCAGATTGACTACATCCTTTGCAGCCAAAGGTGGCGGACATCCATCCAGTCGGTGAAAACAAGACCTGGGGCTGACTGTAGCTCAGATCACGAACTTCTTATAGCCAAATTTAGAATAAAACTAAAGAGATCAGGGAAAATACACAGACCAGTTAGATATGATCTCACTAACATCCTAGCGAATATACAGTGGAAGTGAAGAACAGATTTGAAGGACTAGATTTAGTAAACAGAGTCCCAGAAGAACTATGGACAGAAGTCCGAGACATTGTTCAGGAGGCGGCAACAAAGTACGTCCCAAAGAAAAAGAAAACCAAGAAGGCAAGATGGTTGTCTGCTGAGACACTGGAAGTAGCCCAAGAAAGGAGGAAAGCAAAAGGAAACAGGGATAAGGGGAGATATGCCCAGTTAAATGCGCAATTCCAGAGGTTAGCCAGAAGAGATAAGGAACTATTTTTAAATAAGCAATGCGTGGAAGTGGAAGAAGACAACAGAATAGGAAGGACAAGAGACCTCTTCCAGAAAATTAGAAACATTGGAGGTAAATTTCAGGCAAAAATTGGTATGATAAGAAACAAAGATGGCAGGGACCTAACAAAAGCTGAAGAGATCAAGAGAAGGTGGCGAGACTATACAGAAGATCTGTATAGGAAGGATAATAATATTGAGGATAGTTTTGACGGTGTGGTGAATGAATTAGAACCAGACATCCTGAGGAGTGAGGTTGAATGGGCCTTAAGAAGCATTGCTAACAACAAGGCAGCAGGAGATGACGGGATCCCATCTGAACTGTTTAAAATCTTAAAAGATGATGCTGTCAAGGTGATGCATGCCATTTGCCAGCAAATATGGAAAACACAAGAATGGCCATCAGACTGGAAAAAATCAACTTATATCCCCATACCAAAAAAGGGAAATGCGAAAGACTGCTCCAACTTCCGTACAGTGGCCCTTATTTCTCATGCCAGTAAGGTAATGCTCAAGATCCTGCAAGGAAGACTCCAGCAATACATGGAGCGAGAGTTGCCAGATGTTCAAGCTGGGTTTAGAAAAGGTAGAGGAACGAGAGACCAAATTGCGAATATCCGCTGGATAATGGAGAAAGGCAGGGAGTTTCAGAAAAACATCTATTTCTGTTTTATTGACTATTCTAAAGCCTTTGACTGTGTGGATCATAATAAATTGTGGCAAGTTCTTGGTGGTATGGGCATACCAAATCACCTTGTCTCTCTCCTGAGGAATCTGTATAAGGACCAAGT